CTCGGACTCTTGAGGTCCGAAGATGAATTTTCTTCCTTGGCAGCTCATTGTGCTTTAGAGGAAATTTTTTTTTTTTGGTATCTGGTATCTACAGACTCTTAAGGTCCAAGACTTTTTGTGGTTAAGCTTGCCTCCACTTTCTGGCGCTCTGACGCCATATATAGTATAATTGTATAGTTGGACTATTTGCCACTTCACTTGGGGATCGATCTTTATTGCAATGCACATAAATCAAACCCAAACATTAACCAACCTACGAACATAGAGCAAATACAAAGTTATTCGTAAGCAAAGTATCAGAAGCATGTAAAAATGATTACACGTAGCATATAGCAACTGATTGATGGAAAGTAAGAATTTTAAGAACCTCTTATGTATCACAATTGAATTTGTAATTCTAATTAGCAACAAGTATTTACTCGTTCTTGTTTATCAAGTACATTAAAGTTACTTAATCCATGAAACATTTTAGGACTTCAAGTAATAGATCAAATAGCACAACTTGTGCATTCAATAATGCCTTTGGCTTCGGATCTTTATTTAATTATAAATTTCAGAAGTCAATGTAGAGGGTTAAAATCTTCTTTCAGTTGAGTATCGATGAAGTGATGCATCCCTCTGAAGAGTCTGAACCAACAATATAAAGTGTTGTGGTTCTAAGGTTCTGATCAATTATCAACCTTCAGTGAACAACTAATGGATATAATCTAAAAGTCTAATCAAAGTCAATCGTGAACGAGACAGCTAGTGGATATGACTGAAATTGCAATGCTAAAAATCCTCGATGAGAGAAAAAAGGATGAATTCGTAGATCTACTATAATATTGACAGTCACACACACACATATGTATATATATATGAGGAGAGATGCAAATTAAGTGTGAATAAAAGTGATTACTGATCACAACCGAAGAAGGAGAGACTAAATAATCTGTTGAGTGTTGACAAAGACAGAAGTTCAGGTGGCCTCTTTTTTTATATTTTTACTCAATAGAGTGTGCTGAATAAGCAATTTGGTTCAAACTGAGTCATAAATCTTTATGTATAATGAGCATTTACATGAATAACAAAATATGATTGCATCATGTGTAAATATACATATAATATTGATATATATGTATATATATATTTAATATGAATTTAATTTTAATAAAGATTTTTATAACGAAAAGCTTAACCCTAACTGTAAAAAATTAAAGTTGGAAACTTATTTGATTAGAGAGATTCGCGTCTGATAAGGCCTGGGATGTTTGAAATGCCCGGCTGATGAATCTGTTAAAGTTTGTGGCGTTGAGCGGCAACCCATCTTTAAAAAATTTTTGAAAGCCTTTATTTCGCCGTTAGTCTTAAAAAATGGACTGCTGAGAAGAACTTTGCCGACCTGAGAGCCCAACTTCTTTGGTTCTTATAAGACTAAGCTATCTTGGAAGACAAAGCTTTGAATGCTCTAAAATGAGTCCCCAATTCGAATAGGCAACATAATTTTTTTTTTTTTTTTTTTTTTTTCTCCAGAACTGGGTTACCACAGAACCAATTCTCAAATGAGGTTACCAAGCGGGTTTAGTTCTGGACTAATCCAAAACTAGAATAGCTTTGCATTTGTAGTCAAACAGTGACCAGACTATAGATATATATATATATATATATATATATATATATATATATATATATATAATTGGTACAAGTTAGTAATTAATAGAGGAGGCGAGCAAGGAGAAACTGTGATGGACTGCGAGCTGCCTGTGGGCGATGGCTTGACCAGGATGAAGTTGGCCGGCGAGCTCGCGGCAGAGATGGACGGCTGGTGAGGTGAAAACCGCCGATGAAACAGATCTGCGAGCTTGGTGAGGATGCAGCAGGTGCTAATGAAAATGGTCGGCGAACCCGCGACGGACGGCTGGTTCGGCTGGGATGAACTCCGGTCCGGTCATAAGGAAGCGGCTGTAACCTATCACCGGTGCACCGGCGGACTTGGCTGGTAGTGACAGTCTAGGCCGCCTTGGCGATGGTGGCTTGTGTAACTGTGGGCGACGGTTGTTATGAAAAATCGACCGATCTCAAGCTTCGACATGCTCGTGCGAGCCCAAAACCTCATGCAAATCACTATAAAAAGACTCCAGAAGGAGTTCTATCAGATCTTATCCATGAACCGAGTTCATTTGGATCCCGAATTGGTCTCTGCCCGATCCTCCCTTGCCTCCACCTGTTCCAGCACGTCCGAGAACGACGACACACCTGATAATGAGATTCGGACCACCAGCGACTCCATCTCGGAGGTCGAGCATGTCTCCAACTTCGTCATGGCAGATTTGGGGTTTATTACCGAATGTATGATCTCTTCGGATTGCCAACTAATTGGCTCTTCAGTCCACCCACATCGTTTCTGCTCTTGATGATGCTCGAGAGAAACACATCAATTTTCTTGCAATCTTAAATTTATCAGTAGCATCTAATTTTCCAGTAAGCTCAATTATCATTTTTTCAAGTAAAGGCATAAAAAACTAGACCCAGCTCATCGGTTTTGACAGTAACTGCAGCACCCCTTAAAATTTCAAGTATCTGAAAATTTGGTGAACTTCTAATGAAGCAAAGAAGGCACGAAATCTGATCCACGTCATTAAATCCCAATTTATGTTACTGAATATACTTCAGCTGGTTAAACATAATTGGAAACCTCCTTAGTACCATACCTGCTGCAAAAAACTTCACGAAAAATGCATAGAAAGTAAGCCCCTGAATTTTAGGCAAATCACCAAAAATATTGGTTATATCAATGCTTCCCAACCCCAATCGATTTGCTAATTCTTTGCACAGTTATATACGGATCACTGTCAGGTTTGGGATTTCCAGAAATTGTGGCCAAAAGCAGCAAGAAATCGCCGGAAAAAGTGTTCCGGCTAATTTAAGTTTCTTCAAAAACATGAACTTATTTTTTCCGGCTAATTCAAGTTTCTTCAAAAACATGAACTTATATTTTTTTTTCCAAATTTTTTTTTTTCTATTAACCTGATGGTTGAGTTACAGACTCAAGTTCTGAAGACCAACTCGACTTAATAAGCTTGAGTTCAGATTAGTATGAACCAACAAATATATTTTGCAGTAACAGCACACGTTTATGAGAGCATACTAATTGTTAGCAAAAAACATTCACTGGAGATCGCGGATTGGGCAGTCTGCCCAATAACTGAGATCTTAACATATTGACCCACCTAAAACCCTCTGTTCATGTGATGTAATACTCAAATAATAGTACGCCAGTAGCAAAGTAAGACTAATTAATCACTTCTAGCTAGCGCTTATATAATAATTATGCATGTTTGGATTTGTTGATCAAGATTATATATATATATATATATATATATATATATATATATATATATATATAATAGGAAATCAAGATCAGAACACTTATCTGATTAATTCATGGCTTTTTGGGCTTGGATGGACATCTGATTACCAGGGCAAACACAAGGGATGCCTCTTGGGTTTTCCATTCATCAGCCGCTACGCATCGTAAGCGCGTTGTTAATGGAAAGAACCATGTGGGCCGGCTTGCGTTTTTAGACATCGGCGCTTGTTACATGGAGACGGCTTGCGTTTTTAGACATCGGCGCTTGTTACATGGAGACCTTTGGCCATGATAGTCATTCGAGAGGACTTGGGTTCAAATCCTGGACTTGAAGATTTTAATTTCAAGTCACGTTGCTGGATTTGAAGATTTTAATTTGCAGTGTTGTAACTTTGGTAGGGATATATTTCTATACGATTCCCATAGACGGCGCCAAAGTGTAGGTGCAAAATTTCGCTCAACCAATAATGATTAAGAAAAATAAAACAACTCACTCAATCAATAGTAAAAATAAACAAGAACAATATATCTCGAAGCGTAGAATTGCTTGATCCCTTTATTGGAGGTCTAAGCCTCTATTTATATACAAAAGATTGTAAAATTATGGTAGGACTCGCGTTGCTTGCCCTCCAATTCTTTCTATATAAACATTCTTTACTAATAGAGTTCTTTCCGTTGTCTAATTTTTCATACATAGAATTTGCCTTGTACAGAACTTCCTATCTCAGAATTTTCCTTCTACGGTAAATCCTTCAACTTATAGGACTTGTGCATTCTTGAAAAACTGGGCTGAATATACCTTGAACCAGCTGGGCTTGAATAACGGGCCGGATGTTTAATATTAACATGTTGGGCTGATAATCTCTTAATTCGGGCTTCAACAGGGCTGAAGATCAAGTAACAATAGTATTGGGCTTGTGAACAGTGATATTGGACTAGTATCAAACTCAATTTGGGTTTGACCGAGGTGGGTTTTATAAACTTATCAAGGATATATTTATATTTATGATGACGTGGATTATTCTCATTGGAGGGGATTTTTCCCTCCACAGACACTTTTGCCCAAATTCTCTCCCCTTGCCATTACAGCTTTCTTCCCTCAATCCGATAAACTTTTCCGATTACTCTTGATCCACTCAGGCTCTCCCCAAGCTTTTTTTTTTGGAATCTATTAACCATTATCTACAACATTCAAGGATGTCAATGTAATTTACCTATTTTTTGGGGCCTACCTTTCAACGCAAGCATCATAACACTAGCTAGTAAAGAGCAGTATATATAACCCAACATTGTCGCTTCACAAACTAGCTTACTCATATTTCAAGCAATTAAAGCTGGAACTAGCATATATGGTACCATTTGTGGATTACGTTTGTTATCAGCAACCCACAATGTTGGGAGTGTCATACTTCAAGTACTATATACGGAATTAATTGCCAGCTCAACAACTTGGGAAAATGAGACAAAGCAAACTATATATTTATATATGACAACGTAAACTCATGATTGCAACTTAATTTCATTTATAAAAGAGATTCAAATTATAGATATTTATGCATGACAATATAAAGCAGTAGGCACTAGTACTCTTGGAATATTTATCTTTTCTCTTGCTTTTCCTGAAATGTTTTACAAAGGAAGCAAAGTTGCCTAGAGAGAGAGAGAGAGAGTAGAGAGAGAGAGTAGATTTGTAAAGCAAAAGCAAAAGAAAAAGTGATATGAAAGGAGAGAATACAAATAAAGAATAAAAGGGGTTGATTTAAGTTGAAGAAGCAAAGTTGTGAGTTGTTACCATCAATTGTTACGGATTGCGAAAAATGCAGAACCAGGGAAGCTTTGGCAACAGCGGGAGGTTGTCGAGCGACACCGATGAGGAGTTGTCAAGATTGGCCATCTCCTCGTTTCAGGCTAGAGAAGAAGAGATAGAGAGGAAGAAAATGGAGGTGAGAGAGAAAGTTGAGTATCACTTGGGTCGAGCTGAGGAAGAAACTAGGCGTTTGGCGCAAATTTGGGAAGTAAGTTCAAAATGAAATTAGTTCATATATAGCATAAGAAAAGAATAATAGAAGTTTTGAATATTGGAAATTTTTCTTATGGCTTTTTGTAGATTTTTAGGAGTTCAATCGACACTTTTGTAATTATCAAAATTTTTGTTGTACTAATACAAATAACACAAAATTTAGTAGTAAAGGAGGAGTCTTTTCAGAATTTTGATTGTTGAACATGGGCCTTTGCTGAATTTTGAAAATCTTGTTAGGCAAATGAAATTAAAAAAGGAGGGATCTTTTTTACTTTTACAAGTTTTTATTAAGGTCTTTTATAAATATTTTAAAAATTCAATAGGGGGCACTTTTAGAATTATTAAAATATATGTGTAAAAAATACAAATAAAAAAAAATTAATTAGGGAAAATTGCCCCTACGGGTCCTATCGTTGCTCCGCCACTCATTGGCTCCTGCAATGAAACAGCACTGTTCAATGCACAGGAATACAGGATGACCACAAAATCTTAAGTAAAACATAGATGGGTTGACATAATGTGAAATTCCCATTAACATATTTCTTTCATGCATTTTTTTTTTTTCTTCGTTTTTTTCATTTATTATTTGCTTAAAGTTGCCTTTATTTTCTAAGTAGATCTTACCTATCATTCACATGGTGGTAGTTCAAGTAATGGTTTGTCATTACTTGACCTAGCTAGCTAGGTAAAGATCTAAAAGAATTTTGGAAATAATAATTATCTAATTTATTAGGCCAACTGAACAAGCCACTAAATGTAGCTAGCAACCAGTAATAATTTTAAATCTGAATCTCTCTTTTATATCACCTACCTTCAGCAACTCTCTTTTTGGCCTTAAGCTCGATGCACATTTAGCAATCTAATAAATTTAAATAAAGTATTCATAATAAAATATTTATTAATCTTTTACAATCCATTAGGAGCTTGAAGTGATGACAGACCCCACAAGGAAGGAAGTGGCAATTGTACGTAAGAAAATAGACATGGCTAACCGAGAGTTGAAATCACTTGGACAGAGCTGCCAGAAGAAGGTAATACTTATCTCTATAATTACTATATATATTTCCAATATTATATAATATGTGTGTGTACACACACTCAATGGCACGTGATTAAATTGAGAGCCTTATAAAAATAAAATTAAAAATTAAAAATTAAAAAAATTTAAAAAAAGGCTCTGTTGAGTTGAGTATTATCAGTCACATGCACAATTTATAGTCTTTGTCTAGTCGAGAGATGCACAAATTCTTTTTTATTTATTTATATAAACAGTTTATGCATATATAAAATGGAAGGTTAGGAATTGAGTCATATATTTGATGTCATTTGTAACAGGAGAAAGAATATAAAGAAGCACTGGAGGCTTTTCAGGAAAAGAACAGTGAAAAGGCTCAACTAACTACCACATTACTAGAGGTAAATCTCAAAGTCAAGCTTCGACTAGAAAAAGGAATAAGTAATACGGGGCTCCATTTGATTATTATCTACGTAACTTCCTTTTAAATAAAAGTTTGAGAGTTCGAGTCCCTAATTACATTTAAATTTCTTTATTTATTTGTTTACTTTTTACCAGATGGTGAATGAAAGTGAGAAATGGAGGATGAAGAAGCTGGAGGAACTGAGCAAGATTTTAAATCCCGTACACTGAAATATGCTATGAACCCTTTCTCTGTCTCCCAAATTGATGTTCTACATTTAATAAGATTATTCCTATTCTTGTATGAGTTTTAGAAGGCAATATGACACCTCAATTTTTTCTGATGTAATATCACAATAATTGGTGTCTTAACACTATTTGGCCCAGATGAAAGTTGAAAGCAAAATGATGAGAGCTTAGCTCATTTTTAGGGGTCTTGTATTATCAAAAAAACATGAATGAACTGCATTGCATGGATTTAGAATTCATATGAAACCTAGGTCACCAAAATCAGTAATCAGAAACCTGCAAGAGCTCCTTTGCCAATGGACCAAATGAAAATTTCATGGGGCTTAGCTCATTTTTAGGGGTCTTGTATTATCAAAAAAACATGAATGAACTGCATTGCATGGATTTAGAATTCATATGAAACCTAGGTCACCAAAATCAGTAATCAGAAACCTGCAAGAGCTCCTTTGCCAATGGACCAAATGAAAATTTCATGGTCTGGCCAAACTTTGAGAATGCTACCCTTCATAAGAATAAAGGATCCAAAGCACTCCAACAAACATAATAAAATATATATATATATTTTTCTCCTTGCACCAGGTTGAACATTAGGGTTAAGCCAATTAGTCCACCAAACCCTCCACCTCTGCCATTTGGATAGTTTCATATCCTTAAATGAACTTCTCAACTTCCACCAAGCATACCAACGTACTACAGAGAATTCCATGAGTATATAAATACATACAAATGAATGCAAGACCGCAAGACCATAACGACAGACCTGACCAGAACTCATATGAGCTTTGCTTTTTGCTATTTTCATTATGGACATGGTTACAATGTGCCGTGGTTTACTGATGTGAGTTAAGCACAACTGACAATTTGAGCTGCAAAGGAAACTTCACATCACTTTTTGACAAGCTGCTGTTTGCTCTCCTTAAACGATCACTGGACCATTCCTTCCGACACAACCTGTTTGTACTCCGCCAGCAGCCTTGGAATATCATCCATACGCAACTGAATATCATTAGAAGGAAATCAAAACAAGAAACTACAACAAAGTCTGTGGAATGAATATGTAATGCATTTACAGCATTCAATATTTCGAAAGAACATAAAAAATTATGAAGAATATAAAGAATATGTCTGAAAAGAGTAAAATCAGCGTTCGAGGAAAGATTGAGGAAGTGCCCCCACGATTGGCTTTAGTATAAACTTTTTCTAGGATAGTGGGTGAAGAAAATGCAAGAATTGCATCCTTTTGGGGTTCAGATAATGTTCCTCACAAAACCTAGCAAAGGCCAATTATATACGGAATTACTTGTTCATTTATAACACGGTACAGTTAACTATAGCATTCTTTTCCTTCATGTATTATGTTTATTAGTCCACCACTCTGATTGTAACCAAAGAGTATATAGAACGAAACCCAGATTAGTGTGGATCAGGATTATACATATCGTAATGCATGTAATGACATGCACATTAAATTACTCAGTTCTGAAGAACAGTTGTTTGAAATAATTTTCCTATCGTTCAAATGAACCAAATTTGCAATGTGACGTTATAGTATCACAGTAAAAAGGAAGATCACACTAAACATGTTGAAGAGATGAAACATAACCAAGGTATATCTTTTTGATCAGAGGTTGAATCGATCGTCAGAAGAAGAATTAGGCCAAAAATTAGGATACATTCTGGGAAAATAAAACTTCCATCAAAGAGAAGCAAATAAAAGGCTTTTATATTAGTTTCTCTACAAGAAAAAAGTTAAATTAACTGGGAAAAAAAAAAATTCAATTGAGAAGATTCTCATGGCTTACTTGGAGAGAGAGAGATTTTGGTTTCATGTGAATATCAGTAATATAACAAGAAAGCAGCTTGAAACAAAAATTAACACGCTCTACAGGGCCCTACATCATACCTGCGAAGCCTTTTTCACATGATAGAAATGATGGGCATCTTTTTCAGGAAATCCGGATTCTATGGATTGTAAATTAGATCCAACCTTCTCTCTGTCACAATCATGGCATATAGTCAAGGAAACAATTAATTAACCATGTCATTGAGTGAAAATCGAATAGAAACGGGTGCAAATTTCATAGTTCACAAAGGCTATCAAAGAATTTTGTAAAAAATGATGAGAGGATTATCATAACGAATGGAATTGCTAAACTTTACCTTACCATTTTTGTCTTTTCATATTCTTTTCTTTCCAAAGTCAGTTTCAAATTCATTGCATGTAGTTTATGGTTGATGGACTAAGAGAATCAAATTGTAGTTGCAGACATTAATACAAGAGATAACTCTTGAGACTCAGTGCTGGTTAAGTAAGCTTGACTAGAACTAATTGACTAGATTCCCACAATCCAAATCACAGAAATATGAGATACAATATTACAATGGTTCTTCCACTGTTCATGGGAAAAAGAAAAGAATTATCATTAGGAAACCTGCTTTTTGTGATACTAATGGATACCCCGACAATTTTAGCTCCGAAATCCAGCCTTCCACTCAGTAAAGTTGGATAAATGTTCAACCGGTAATAGAGTTAGTGCACTAAGCCCTCTATAGCAGTTAAATGTAAAACACATGGCAATCGCCACCATAACCAAAATACAGCAGAAATGCAGTGATCCAAGTTCTTTAAATAATATTTAAAATTAGGGCTAGGATTTGTTGCAAAATGGCTTGCAGACAATAAGAAACTGACAGATGAGCATTTCTAAAATAGGAATGGTGTTTTTGTCAAGGTCATTATTAATGTTCTGAATACAAAGGGTAAAACAGTTCTGTAATCGCAAGGAAATAAGAAACTTTTTGAACACTTCAACCTAAGTTTTAACTTTTAACTTCTCAATTAAACATCCATTGCCACCATCACCGCATATTTTAGACTTGTAAGTAGGGCCATCAATGAGTTAGTCAAGATCCACATCCAATTCAAATTAGATGATATAGATCAAGATCCATCACTTCAAAGCTGAATTTGATTCATCTGAATTGAGAAATATAACTATAGTTGGCTCAAACCAGGATCTGTATAGATTCCATCCGTTTAAGATCCGAGTCCAATTAAAATTCTTTAGTATAACAGACTTTATACATGTTTTTAACATTGGTAATCGATGATTTACTAGGGATATTCAAGAGGATATCTCATGATGTATGACATTTGATAAAGAAACTAGAGTAGTGGTTTGCTCCAAGTTAGTACAAAAAGATACTCTAGAATCAAAAGGTTTTAAGCAATCATGCCTAAGCCGCTGTTTCTAAAAAACACCGAAATTGATTTTGAGATATTTATAACTGAATTTAAAGTGCACAATTTGCAAATCTGGAAACAATTAATTTTGAGTGCTGAACCTATTAAAATTGTCTGCTTTGTTGAAAGTACGAAAGTAGTTTTTGCAAACTTTTGTGGATTTATGTGATCAAGATAAAGAAACAATGCATAACCACTCTTACATATAATGACGGGTGATCAGGCGGTGGTAGTCACGAAGTAAAGGGGCAAGTTCCTTGAGTGGTATTGACCGTGGTTCAGATTTCCTCCAATGCTCACGAAGAACCTGAGCTGCCTTTATTCACCATCAAGGACACTTTTAGTTTGATGTACCAAATGTAAAATGGCCATTGCTTAGTGCTGGTCAACTGTTGAGTGTTGGTAAGGGAGACAGGATACTTGCTTATTTGCACAAAATGGCTGCCTGTATTCTCCCAAATGAGAGCCGTGATTTTACCGTTGGACTAAGCAATGGTTCCCTTGATATACAGCACATGTATAAGTTATAACATAAACATATGAAACTTACCTGACTATCTGAAATATGTCCAATGCTGGAAACTCCTCCTCTAACCAGCTGTGATGCTAGTTCCAGAAATTCTTGGTCTTCAGACTCGTCTATGATTTGAAGGTCAGGACTAGAAAGTGAAACAGAAATCTTTAATCTTTTTTGTAGTTCTGCAAATGCAGATTCTTCTGTTTGGTTTTCCTGTCAACAGTATGGAGAACCCTTGAGAATGTGTGATAAGATGGAATGTGCCAAAATCATGACACCGTTAAGGGAAAGCTAAGGTCCTTTTTAGGATACTTCTACATTCTAGTTCTGATTTAAATTTTGTTCAATTATGTAAGAGTGATTATTTTGAACAAGTTTTATGATGCCAACAGGACTTCAAAACAAAAGCCTTAAAGAATTTTGTTCCAAGTTTAGGACTCAACTACAAATGGAGTCCTATTGATTCGGAGGTAAATTAATTTATCAGCTCTATGGATGTTTAAAATTATGTAACCTGATAATCAATGGAAACACAAAATGAACTAGTCCTACCTAAAAGGTGTTCAAAGACCATATTTATCAAAAGGTCAGAGATCATTGTTCGAATTCCATTTTCATAAATAAGATCTCCTATTGGCAAACCCCATACAATCTCAAACCCAACCACAACACCTCCCCCTCCCCTCCCCTCCCCCCCCACCCACCCCCCAACCCAAAAACACACACACGCGCAATAGAAGAAGAACATATTAAAAGGCATGGAGGATGTTATCAGATGGTTTTGCAACCAGAGGCATGGAGGATGTTATTAGTAGGGCTGCAATTCACAGATCGGGTTCATGTTCGGGTTGGGTTTAATCAAAACCCAGACAATTCAGGTTGGGCTCGGGCTCAACCCGAACCCAACCCAAAACCCAAAATTAAAATTTTTTTTTTTTTTCTCTTTTCTCTCTCCTCTCTCTCTCTTCTTTCTCTTTTCTCTCTCCTCCCCGAAATTTTTTTTCTCTCTCCTCTCTCTTCTTTCTCTTTCTCTTTCTCTTTCTCTTTCTCTTTCTTCTTTCTCTTTTTCTCTCTGCCCGAATTTTTTTTTTTTTTTTTTTCTCTTTTCTCATCTTTCTCTTTCTCTCTCTCTCTTTGCCGCCGTCCCTCAGCCGATCCACCGCCGCCGCCGCCGTTACTTCCAAAAATTAAAACAAAACCCATACATACAAGTTAGCAATTGCAGAGAGAGAGGGGGGCAAGCTTGAGAGTTGAGAGACAGCGGCTGAAGCTTGCGAACGGCGAACCCGAACTGGAACAGCCGGCGATGGAAACTGAAACATATGGGTTTTGATTTTTTGAACAATCTGAAATGATCTGAAATATATGGGTTTTGAACTTTTGATTCTTGCACACAGATCTGAAATATATGGGTTATGAACTTTTGATTCTTGTAGATTTTGTAGTTTGAAGTTGCAGAGAGAGAGAGAGAGAGAGTGAGAGAGAGTTGAGAATGAGACTGGACGATTGGGGAGGCTGAAATGATTTGCCCTAATTTTTTTTTGTTTTTTAATAATATATAGATATATCTGTATATATATCTATATATATATAGATATATAATATATATATTTTCGAAAAATATATATATAAATAAATTTTAAAAACTCAACCCGTCAACCCGACCCGACCGGCCCGAAAATATTCGGGCTGGGTTTTGACTATAACCCATGTAAGGTACAATTCGGGTTCGCCCAACCCAACCCGATTCGGGTTGAGGTTGGGTTGGGACTGGGCTGGGTTGGGTCAGCCCAACTTGCAGCCCTAGTTATTAGATGGTTTTGCACCCATTACCTTGACTGCAGATTGGAGGCCATTATTTGCCACTGTAACATCCTTATTTACAGAAGCACTTTCTGGTGGAGATGCCGGCAAGCGCTTTGCGATAGGATCCTCTATGTATCAACCAAAATGTGACAAGCAATTAGAAAAGGCCAAAGGTTGAAGATCACAAGTTACAGAGGGAATCTGAAGGAAACAGAAAAAGAAAATTACATACATCATCTTGGAAACATATAATAATCAGCTGAGAATTTCTAGCACTGACTATTTTTGCAGCTAATTCAACATCCCTTTTAGTTGATTGTTTCCCCACAATAAAAATTCATAACATGTCACAACAATGCCCAGGTGTGACCCCCAAATCCGAGAAAAAAGAAAAAGAAAAAAGTGCAGCATTACATAATGAAGAACACGCGAAACATACTAGTTGAAAGCAAATTTAGTACCTTCTGGAACCAACCACCATAGATCACCAAATGTTGATTTGCCATCAAAGCCTCCAAACATTAGATAACGTGAACCAATACAAGTCATAGAATGATATGCACGAGCAGGAGGGGGTTCATTGCTGGTAGGTAGGCGCTTCCATTGAACGTACACTAAAAATGCAATACGGCAACATAAAAGAACTTTAACAAACATTGATAAAAACAACACTTAAACAAGGTTTAAGAAAAAAGATAAAAGTTTTGTAATAAATATATATATTTGTGTCAAAGAATGGTAATAACAGCTTAAAAAATGTGGAGGATAACTGAAGAACAACATTGAATGGACTGCAACGTTATTTGAGTGCTAATTGGAGAAGCTGGACCATATTTCTGATACAAAAACTGACCAGAACATTTATTTTTGGTTCTTCATATCTAATCTATGTAAACAGTTGACAACAATTGTTTAGTTTAAACTTTAAAGTTGGCAGGCAGACTTCTCAAGAACAATACGCTCCCATTTTTCTTTGTTTTATAATTGGTGAAAGATTACTGAAAACCAATACCATTGGATGACGATTGTGGTGTTAAGGTTGTCCTGTTTGTGCAAGCCATCCTGTAATTTTTGTGTCGTGTTGCTTACTATAAATCGTCAAGCAGCAGTAACATGGAAAATTAATTCCAGTCTAGATAACGTGGAAGTCATGGTACAATCAATTTTCCATTTGGCAAACCCAATGATTGTGGTGTTAAGGTTGTCCTGTTTGTGCAAGCCATCCTGTAATTTTTGTGTCGTGTTGCTTACTATAAATCGTCAAGCAGCAGTAACATGGAAAATTAATTATAGTCTAGATAACATGGAAGTCATGGTACAATCAATTTTCCATTTGGTAAACCCAATGTATTAGTGCAGGAAATTAAGTGGCTCCAATAATCTAATGTAGTTAAGCTATTATAACGATGCAACTTAAAACAGTTGGATCACCTATTCTCCCAAACAGAAAAGCATATTTCAGGTTTTGTGGTTCGACATATTATTAGCGGTTACCAGATAAAAATTGCACAAGTGCATCAATAAAGCACACTCTCACCGATGTACTACACAGGGATGAAGCAACACTCAACTATCATGCTATTTACAAGTCTGTGGGAGGTCACATATTCCTATGAGGCCACTGAATGGAAGAGTTGAGGTTATTAAATATTACTTGCACCTGTTAAACATATATGCATCTTCTAATTTTCCAACTCAGTGCTTATCCAGTTTTCAGATTTCCTAAAAGTTTGAGTTGGTTATATATTGAATAAAGTATGGATAGCTTCTTCCTCACCCTGTTTTAATATGGTGTTCTGTGTCCAGAGTTAAATAATTGAAATTCTATGGGGCAACAGCTTGTTGATCAATTAGAAAGTCATAAAGTGACTGGAAATGATAATGATGCCAGGGCTGACGCTAACTGGGTTTTGGTATAGCACACCCTAAGGCACAACCGAAACCAATCATACTAGAACCAATTGCCCACAGATCATGTAGTTACAGATAGGAGGTAACTTGTCATTACAAGATGAACATTTACACAGAGTACACTAGTTATCAAAAAAATGTTGTTCACCCTTTTCTCTGCACCAACTAATTTTTTTAAAGTTTATCAACTATCCATTATACATTTATATAAGTGGATGTCGCCATTTGCAACCATGATAGTCAATTAGCAAAGAGAATGACATTGATCATTAATCTTCATGTGCTACAAATTTTATAAATGTAATGTGGTGGCTATTATTAGTTAAAGACATCTGACAGAAGTGGACAAACTTTGTTAACTAGCACAAATGTTCCATTTTGCTTTTGGCCTCAAACAGTGCTAACAGCGTACTATAACTATCAATGAAACATTAAATTGTTCTTTAGACTTCAAAAAACCATATGAAACTCATCAATCATCCTCTTTCACCAAGTCCTCCAAGTTTAAGGGTGCCTAGTTTTAACAATACACGATGTCTAGATTGTATAATATTGGACTCTGAGGCTCTAAAGAATGGCAACATTAGGTTCTAAATCTCGCCTAAAAGATGCAAGGAACATTCCTTGTTTATGAATGTCTAATCTCAAGATCATGGTTCTTCCTTTCAAGTTACCATTTATATTAAATAGGAATGTTTTATGCATGTCTGAAAAAATGGACCCCCCATTCTTCATTATCATCTCCTTTATTGATACGGTTCCTTTATGCTGGAATCATATAATTCTTTCTTCAATCCCACTCAACATTTAGATAGTGACGCATCATGCACCACACAAAAGGGGCTGAAGGTGCATTTACAGCATCTGTAACCTCTAATGTCATACAACCACGTCAGGTCTCTTAAAAAAGATTGAAGCTTCGAGTCCTCTTTCAGGAACCCCTTCGATTAGCAGTTTGAACCAACCCCTTCGATTAGCAGTTTGAACCCAAATGAAGGGGTTTGTCCTTGCTCCATGAATTCCATTATTTGAAGTTTTCCACTTATAGTTCCTTTGCACTTACATCACACCATTTTTTTGAACACTTATTGAAAAATTCCTCCAACTACCAAATTAGAGAAAAGACGTGGGAGAAGATGAAGGCTACAAAAAAGGCACTGCACTAGGAAATTTTCTTAGTCCTTGGAAAGGGAAGAATCTAGTGTTGTATCCACTCACAAGGGTTCATCTAGTACTGTGGTAATGATTACCTACAGATATCAACTCCAGCTGTTAATATTATCTCTATCAACGTGATTCTCAAGTAGGATGAATAGTGGCAACCGCATTAAATGAAGATGGAGATTGCATTTCTTTAAGGGAACCTATAGCCAGAAGTCAATAAGGAATATTCACCAAAGTTCAACTTCTTGATGAACCAAAGAAGTAACCAAAAGCAAGATATAAAAGATCCAACAGGGCCATGAGAATGGTAGGGAAGGAAAAAGGAAAATTAAGATCATCATAGCTTGATTGAGAAACGAACTAAAAATAGGGAGAATGCCACTCATTGTATATGCAATATGCATGCATAACAATCTGCAACAAATTCAACGGCTAAAAGCTCTTGTCATAGAATTTCAGATCAAATTTGATGACCATCAACATAGTTCATAGTAATTCAAGTAGCAATGTCCAGAGAGCAAAGTTTCAACTCACCAGAAAATTATGTCTGGACTAACCTATAAAAGAAAGTGAAGAACTATTATATGGGAGTTGAGCTAGATAATAGTCATATATAACAATATCACGGATATAAGAACAAATGTAATGATTGCTTGGAATAGTGGTTGGCTATGATAAATCGGTTGAAAAATCCGTACACACAATATCACCTCAACCTGACATTGCATTCGTTATAAATATGATCATTCAATGTATGTGCACGCCAAGACTTACAAATACTAATTCCTAAGGCAATGCTAATTTTACCTAGGTACCTTATAGGTGCTCAGTAAAGGCTATTCAATTCTAATATCATGGTATATCGGCGTGAAAACATGGATTAATGCTAATCGAGTTGGTAAAGTGTTTTAATAGGTGTCCATGCTTGACCATTACAGTTAGGGATGGCAAAATCCCCATACCCGGCGGGTCCCCGACCCACCCCGCCTTGTTTATGGCGGGTTTGGGGACCCATTTATGTAAATGGGGAGGGGATGGGGATTGTATTTGAAACCCCAGCGAAAGATGGGGCGGGGGCGGGGGCGGGGGTGGGGGCGGGGGGAGGGTAACCCCACCCCGCCCCATTTATAGTGCATTTTTACAAAATTGCCCTTACATGTTATAAAATATTACTAAATTACATAACTATATATATAATATATTCACTTCTGAAAGTGAAACCCAAGATCTATTCCCTTGCAGCATAGAGAAAAAACATAGTCGTTGTGCATCAAACATCTTATCATGTTTTAAATTGTTATAATTGTGCTGAAACTTTATTCAATTATTAGGTTGAAAAATATTATGGTTGCGCTGATTTTGTTGAAGGTGAATTGGAATTTAAAAAATGTAATGCGGGGTGGGGCGGGGATGGGGGTAAAAAATTTGACCGGGGATGGGGATGGGGAATGAGATCCCTGCCCCACCCCGCCCCATTGCCATCCCTAATTACAGTCTAAAAATCATTAATTATTTTAGATTCATTCCACAAGGTAATGGAAATTCACTCATTATGGCTTCGAGATTTATTGATGGAAAGGAAGCATGGTTGACAATCCCTTGACTGTAACACATCCACTAAAAGTTTTGCACCAGTTCAATGGGGCATGACACGGGAGAAAGAACATTTCACTAAAGAGAGAAATTTGTTTTGGGTGTGATTTGCATGCTATATGTCATTAAAAATCAACAACTAACGTATGTTGTAAACAATTATATAGCAAGAGTTGAATTACAATATTATAGATAACCAGTCCATGTTAAATAATTGTGCATTTTTATCCGAGAAATAGACAAATAGTTGGGCATCAACTTGAGGATTTTTCTCGTCACTTGATTTGAGTTATAGCAAAGGCGCATTCATCTCACTTGCATACAGATATAAAATATGTTATCCCACTTTGGATTAGTGCATTTTATATACCGAAATAAATTTCAAGAATGACTAATCATTCATACCCAGGTGCATTGCTCAACTGACCACAGAAATATTTTATTAAAAAGGCAATGCAATAAAGTTGTTATAGTGACACTTGCCGTGATGATATCCAATATTCAAGCTAAATAAATGGGGGAGTAGATTCTACTTACGAAAGAGGAAAAAGAAAAGGTCAACCACAACCCCAAAATCTTAGTTCCGTGTTGTTTCTGAAATTCATGTTGCAGTTTGACAGTTCGGCTGCACCTATGAACAGATAAAATATGGCACTATTATTCTGTGCCAACTACATATATAGATTACAACATTTTCGGACTGACTTCAGATGATATCACTGCAGAGACACTAATTGGACAAAAGTCAAATTTCTTATTATTGTCCTTCAGGCCATATCATTCACAAGATTATTTCATCTTGGACAGCTTGACTCAACAAAACCTTCAACTATAGGGTGTGCTACGCATACTCTTTTGCCATAGTACCTTTTCAAAATAAAGGATGTTCAATGTCACATGAGCATGAATGTGGAATGAGTTGTGAAAATTGGAAGTTCGTATATAGGAATAGTCAAAGAATCTATAACATATCAACAGATGGTTAACTAACATAAAAACCAGCAAGCATCCACTGGGTATCCGACAAGAAAAGCACTCACCCCTGTCTAAAACGACACAATCATTGTGATAAATGTCATAACGACTCAACCAACCACCAGTCCCATGCCCTCCAAACAACAACAACTGCAAACAAAATTATTTTAAGAAAAGGAACGAAAGTCATGTACCAAGTACTAGAAACAAGAAATTCTAACAGAAATAACTTGAAATAATTAAAAAGTATTATTGTGATAATACACACAAAGTTTCATATGGTATATAGGTACACAGGTTTTACCATAAGTCGGTAGACACGAGTCAAAATGTATATCAAGCTCATAGCATAAGCAGTTATAGAGTTATAAGGAACAACACACAAAAGCTTAAATAAGGAATTATATCATTCTTTTTCCCCTTAACTATGCAATATTCGGGTGCAGATTTCAGTCATTCTCTGAGTTAATATACAGTAGTTGCCCAAGTGATACTTGTAGTTGATTCAATCATTGCTACTTCTCCAAGAAACAACGTAACTTGAAAGGAGTCTCCCTCTGTGACTGATTGATCTAAGTTATTTTGTTTTGTAAGTTAATATGACCATTTATCTGTTTCCAAGTATGCAGTAGTTTCCAGGGGGTCTATAGCTCTTTCAAAGGTGTTAAAGCAAGAATGAAAATGATCCCAACTTAAATTGTACTTACTCCCTTCTTTTAACATATAACATCTTAGTCTATGATTTGCAGCTGTATAATTAATCAAGAAATTGATGTTGATGTTGGATACAGAGATGAGGCACACACTGCGGCAGCTCAAAGAAAGTGAATGCCACATCCCAGTGGACAAGAAATACATATGCAACTAACATGCATGTTGATGTGCTTCATCATTGAAATAGGGCTTATATGGTTGTGTTGGTGTTATGTATACAGTGGTAAATTAGTGCAATTCAAGGTGTTCACACTTGAGTCCAAAGCTTGGAGTGCCAACTCAACCATCAAAAAACATCATCTAGTTTTTTAAAACTTTTTGTGTTACCTAATAAAAGTAAAATGAGGCATCAAAGAGAAAAGAAAGTTCTCAGAGGATGTAGAATTACATAGTGCCCTCCAGATGTAATGGTATGGCCACAACGAGGTGAAGGAGCTTGACCCGGAAGCTTCAGTTGGGTCCATCCAGGAGTTTCATTCTCTTCCTTCCACAACAAACACACAACATAACTCAACTCAGCCAATTCAATAAGGCGTCAAAATGAATATATTGATGCAAGAAGTAGAAATAAAGACAACTCATGCAGCACTGGACAAGCAGAAAAAAATAGACACGGACACACAAATATAGTCATGTAGAGAACTTTTGTTAGAAAATATGAAAAGGGAAATACCAATGATAACAAGATACAGAAGAATTTGTTCGGAACTGCTTCAATAGGATGAAAACAAATAACTGTAAATGACACATACATGCTTAATGGAAACACCAGTACTCCCATGCACTGCTTGCTCCTAGTTGCTTAGGTGCATATAGGGTCCGATTTGTTGCCTTCTACTCAAACTCAAGTAAGGTCATATCAAAATTCCATAGAAATCCTAAGTATAATCGTAGTCTCAAAGTTCTTCTTCTTACCAAAGTGACGATAATGGTGGAGCCATGTATACACCCAAATGTTAGACTACCTTTTGTTATTTTAAATTAGAGGCCAAATTTTACAAATTCTGAAGGTGCACAACTCCTCCTATCCCCCCACCGACACATAAACATACAAAACATTTATACTTCAAGTATGGAGTATGGTCCCTTCAAGCATAAATTGAATTTTCAGTCACACCCCTTATTTTGAAGATACTCAAACTGCCCCTTGGCTAGCCTTAACCAAAGATTAGAGGAGACTGCCCACTTGTAACACAATCATTCATGAGATGGATTGAAGTGATATGTAACGAACGCTGAGGCCCTTAAATTCAAATAAATAATTTATTTTTTTTTATAAGTAGAGATTGTATAAAAAGCATTCAAAAGGGTGAAAGCAACCCCCAAAAGCTACACAGGGTCAAATAGGACCTCTAAACCCTCAAAGACTCCAAAAAATCTACAAGCTCCTCCAAGGATTTACAATTTCTCCCAAGAACCCTACAAAAAAGAGTATTAATAATAGAAAACTTCAACGTACCAATAGGGGATTCTCCTTTTCTTCGAAGGATCTCCTATTTCTTTCAAGCCATAAGCACCACCGTACACAAAAAGGTGTAACCCTCCAGAAATCACGAACTTTGTTTTGCTCATTTTAGATTTAAAAAAGAAAAGAAGAAAATACAAGAAATGCTAGTGGCCATAAGTGACACACCATCCAACATCTAATGTCAACATGAGTGGGTGTTGCTTGATAACCCAAGTCAACCCTTAATTCTAAAGGGATTAAGAGCTTGTGTTTGATAATGCAATTTGAATATCACTTAACAAAGTAAGATCCACTTAAAATGGGGTTAAATTTTAAGTGTCTGTGACTGCACTTATCACTGAATGCTGAACACTTAAAATTCAAATATATATATATATATGTATGTGTGTATATATATATATATGTATGTGTGTATATATATATATCTCAATTTTTAATTACCACTTAATAACTTTAGCCATTTGGTCTTTAAATTTTCAGAACTTAATTTTAAATTTTATCAAACAGCACTTAGTTTGTGCGTCTCGAAAAAGGATGACATCATCATGTTATATTTCCTTAAAAAAGATTTTTTTCTTATATTTCCTTACAAGAACAGCCATATAATAGATTTTGAGAAGAAATCGAAATATGCAACATGGTGTAAAGTAAATCTATGAGATACAAGAATGGAACTAATTTCAATAACTTGAGGAAATAACAGAAAATATCTCAATTGTAAATTACAGAAGCAAAGATGGATTAAAAATTATAATACCTTCATCAACAAGACCCTTCAAAGCCCACAAATCACCCATAATTGGTCCTCCACCTCCTACACAAGTTGGCAAAACCACTTAATAATTAAGACCACATAAGTGGATGCAAGCACACATTTAATGCATGCCAAGAGGGAAATCCAGTAATAGACGTTGGCTATATCCTTCTAGTGCTGGCATCAAAGCATGATAAACTAATTTCCACGATTGGAGCAGTTTTCTAAGTATCACTCTCCAAGACATTGTTAAAACTGTGATCCAGAGAAATTTGAACTCTGCTCTTAACATTCAATCAATATAGTTGCTCTTAACGGGAGAATATGCTTATGTCCAATAAAATGACCTATTCCAAAAGTCAGAAAAGATTAACATATAGAAACCTGTTGTACGCAAATCACACACTAACTTCAAAAATCTTAAATTTTTGCAGAAGAACAGCCATTCTTCTATAAAATTTGATCACACTTTCTCTAATTTGAAATAACCAGGTGTCACGTGATGACAAATGAAGTAACCCTCGAAATCAAAAATTACTAGTCAGTAGTTTATTATGCAGCAACTGATAAATAATTCGCAGATTCTGCAATTGACTTGCAAATTGAACTTACACATAAAAGAGTACCAAGAAAATTTACTCATTACTTTCAAATTTCAATGTAGCTTTCACACTACAAAAGAAAAAGGCATCACACAGTACTGGTTCTGTTAAAAGAAGATGCTGAGAGGGTACAGCGAGTAAAACTTTGCCATTTAAATTATTTGCATAAAGTGACTACCCTCCTAGTTGAACTCGTGTTCTAACGCTTGGTAGTCCAAAAGCTTTTACCACTGCACAAGCAATGGTCCATAGCTTTCATATTATAATACATACAAAATCATGAATATCTCCTTTGTCAGTAAATTCATATCACAACCATGACATCACAAACTACATTATGTGGCAAGCCATGCTGTGTGCCTGCAGAGGTTGCAATGATCATATTAGACATTTCCACATAATAAAATCATCGCTCAATTTGCATCTTAGGTCTTCCCTTCCCACCTAAATTCCCTATGTTCAAAACCTATATCAGTGGTCCGGTCAATGATATTACCCCCGACATCATAGCCTCTACCTAGGAATTAGATTTGAAGAAAATGGTTTAATTCTAAGTTCTAACTAGAGTGGATGATGAAAATGAACTCTCCATTGCTGAAGTTAGCACTCATCTTTGTAGAAGACATCCCCATCCTCACCAATTTCAAAGCCACAAACCTGAAAGAAGTACCAAATCCTCAATTGCATTCTTGCTTGAATGTCGATCCAAGAGCACTCCTGGCGAAGAAGGGGTAAATGGGTGCGAACTACCGTGTCACACAATGGTGCCAATAAGTAGGAGAGAATTACTACTTTTTTTTTTTTTTTTTTTTTTTTTTTTTTACTTTTGAAAAAATCATATAATAATCATATATCATATTATTATTATTATTTATATTTCTAGTAACATTTTATATGATTTGTGAGATTTATGATGACTTCCTTTTTGGGGAACTGGTATGAATGACATGGTATTTTCTCTTGTCATAACTGTTAAGTGAGGATCATCCAGTGGTCCTAATTTTAGATTAGGACAATCGGGTGACATGATATTGTTAGGTCATTGAAGTTTAATCCACAAATTATTGGGGCTGCCGCAACAATAACTTAACGCTAAGGTTGTCATAACTTCAGCAGGCTCTCAACGCCTGTATAAGTTTTAGTGATCAACTTACAATCTTTCACCATACATGTCCTTTATCACGTCAATGTATCTTCCTTTGTGACTCTTTTTTTTCTAAAAATGCTCCATATTAGATTTTCTGAGTACCCTAGTATAGGCTTTCTATAAATCAATAAAAACCATATGATCCAAACACTTGAATCAAGAAAAGAACAATAGACGCTTGCATATTTATATGGATACTCAGACATAAGAGGCACAAACACTCGAGAAACAAAAAGAGTTTAATCTATATAAATATGCAAGAAACAAAGAGAGAGAGAGGGAAAAAAAAATGGACTGTAATTTTACTACGATAAAAGCAATTCCTGGATTCTTTAGGCAAATGCTTTGAACGTACAATCATCTTAAGAAATCAAATTATTGAAAATGCAATGAAATGCATATGCAACAAGCATAACCAAATAATCATTTAATATTACTTCAGAGTCTGTTATAACACTCAAAAGTCAAACCAGTTCATATCACATATCAGAGATGGAGGACCATTATGAGAAGTATTTATTTATGAAACCACACACTGTACAAGGTCATCAAATGCTATTTCACCTCTACCGCCATAGACAAGCAACCTTTTCTCAACCATAGTAGCTGAATGACCACATCTTGGAGGTGGCAACGATCCAGAAACAGATAGCTCAATCCACTCAAGTGATACTGTTTGGAGAATTAATAGCATAAAAAACAGATTTAACATGTTAAACATAATATCATTGAACACAAAAAGAAAGAATTTATGGCACCAATGAGCAAAGAGTTTACTTGTGTCCAAGATATAGACATCTGACAACCATTTTTTACCATCCCAGCCACCATACCTGCATTAGATTGAAGCTTGCTTAAGAGCAGGAGGTGGACAAAAACCAATACTAACAAATTCATTAAGGATGTAAGTATCGGTACCCACATAATAATTTTCTGATTTCCGATAGCTGAAGCAGCAGCAAAATCCCGTGGTGAAGGCAAGTCACCAAAACTGGTAAGCTCTGACCATTGCCATATATCTGGAAAAATATACTCTATTAATCCTCCATGAAACAAACATTAAGCCGATCATATCCAGATTCAATGCATTTCTTTATGATTACAGTAGATCTACTTAGAGAATCATAGTAACAGACTCTTACCAGTATCTAGGACCCAAAAGTCACCCAACCTGAAGATACAGCTTCATCAGCAAAAACATTTGCGCAATATATATACCAACTAATGTAACAAAGATTTGCAAGAGAAACACAGATATGTGCTGAAAAAGCACAAACCTCTTACTACCAGAACGGCCTCCAAAAATGAACATGTGGCAGTCAATTGAAATAGCTATGTGAAATGCTCGTGGGCTAGGACCCACCTGCCCATCAGACCCATTGCCAGTGCACTCTGGTTGAAACCATAATTTGTTATCTGAACGTTCACAAACTCGTTTTAGAAGTCATGCAACTTCAAAATCAACAGCAATTTGATCACACTAATCAACATATTTATAAAATTCGTTGAGACGTGTGGGTATTCATGTGTGTGTGTGTGTGTGTGTGTGTGTGTGTGTGTGTATAAGTATGGAGAATAATATGTTATGAATTTCAGGATACTCAAAGATAAGAAAAATAAAAAATAATAACCTGTCCTCGAGAAGAAAAACATGAAACACAATTCATAGAGAGAGAGAGGGAGAGAACTAACTAATACATAAGAAAACCAAAGAATAATGGAAGAAGTCAAATGCACAAACATATCGCCAACATGCATACATGTAATGTCCAATTGAAAGAAACAACATAAAATTTTTGCTTTTATTTGACTGACAACACATGCACCATTTTTCCTCCTTCCAAATGGAAGGTTGAGGGTTTGAGTGCCCTTTGGGGGCAATAAGTGTCTTTGTGTGAGAGAGCTATGTTACATGGACTCGAGTACATGTGTTTGGTGTAGGTATTTATTCACGCGTCAAACGTGTTAAATTCTCAGACAAAAAGGTACACGGACACTGCCGTCACACTGCTAAATTTTCAAATTATTTTATATTTTTATTTTATTTTCTAGAGTAAAATAATGTCTATATAATATTTGTTCAGTATAGGTATTTGATTTATTTTGAGGTAATAATAAACTGCAAATCATTGCCTATTCTATAAACCAGGTGGTTTGTGGTCATTCGATGACATTAGCAAGGACCCTTGTAACTAAACAAGAATCAAAACCTAGGAAGCACGGACACTTCTATAAAAGGCTGTATCCATGTCGCACACTAACAAAGTAGTTGAACAATAGTATCATATATGATACAACAATCATTACAAAATTCACCTAATTTCATCTTTATAAATAATTTCATCTTTATAAATTCTGCCAAGTAACTCTTAGTATAGAAATTAAAAATGAATTAAAGTTCTATTATAGATTCACTCAATGTGTATATAAATAAAATATATGTTTAATATAGCAGAGTCCATGCCTTATCCATGTCCTACCTTTTTAGGATTTGACGTGTCAATTTATATGTATTGTATCGTGTCCGTGTCCATGTCCGTGTCTATGCTACTTAGATCAGGGCTATTTGCACACTAATCTCTTCATCACCTATACAATTGCCAAAATTTTACTTACTTAGCTGATTGCTCAGTCCTACTACTTTTTTAGGTCTAATGAAGGCATTAGGTGATCCAGCCAGGAGAGCCTAAGCCAACATGTGGGCAGCAGCCTAAGATACACCTCAAATTTACTGGCCATGCTAAAAGCTATTTAAAAAGTTCTGATTTTCTTTCTGAAAACACTACCACTGATATAATTTAAAACCAATCTGACCAATCTGCATCATAGTTTTTAGATATTAAGTATCTAACCTAATCTGCATTGAATCATGCTCATCAGCCCATGTGACACCAAGGGAAAAGGGAAAAAGAATAAGACCGGGGTAGAGGACGCATGTACCACCTCAAATGTTTACCTAGTCAAAGATCTACTTCTAAATCACAAATAGATCAGGGTTGAAGTTACTCAACCAAAACGTCCACACTCTCCTACATGCAAACTTAATAGTATGTGGGACTCCTCTCTCCCTTTGAATTGTTTAGAACTTTACCCCTGTTTCTTCACTAATGGTGACTTTCTGAGTAAGCTTTTCCAGGTAAAATGAGCTCCAAAATCTGTGTTAACAAGCACAAAAGCAGTACTTGTGAAGAAAATGTAAGCATAAGCAGAAAAGGTAAAAAAATTAAGTTCTATATTTTATGTTATCTGATTGGACCTATAAAAACAAAAACATCAATCCAATCAACATAACGCAACTACTCAATTTGGTTGAATATATTAATCTTTTTCTTTCTTTTCCCTTTTCTTTTTACAAAAAGCATCTTCAAACTTAAGATTCAAGAACTCGTTCAATTCTTTACTCTTCCTAGTTTTTTCAGCAACCAAATGGGTGGTTAATATATTTTTCTCAATCCTTCTTTATTGTGCATTTTTTTTAAGAAAATGCACAAATATTCATCATCCAAAAGCTCTTTAGTCAAATATGAGCACTCAAAACCAAAGTGGAATACAAATGCATTCAGAGACTCCACAAATAAGTGTGCATGTGATAAAAGCTCAGCAAATAATACATGGTCAATAATCAAATTTCAAAATACAAATTTAGAAACAATAGAGAAATACAAATAAATTACCAATAAATCAGTAGTACAGAACATTCAGAAATAACACAGAATATAAACTTTAGATCAATAAGATCAGAAAATGAGATTTTCAAATTCAACATCAATCTGATGACGTTTCCACTGAGAAAAATTCAAGAATAGAATAGACCAGAATGTACCGATATCGTATACAGTGATGTCGCTGAGAAATTTCTTGTCGACCAGACCTCCGAACACTACGATCTTCGATTTGCCGATGTTGACAGCACTGTGGCCACTGAAAATCAAAAGAACAATTTACGATGATTTAGATTAAAGAACAAAAAGGAAAGAAAGAAACTGAAAATTCGGATTTAGAGCGAGAGAGAATTGCCTTCGAGGTTGAGGAACAGTTCCATTGAAATCAGAGGAAGAAGCTCGAACCCAATAATGCATCTCTTTCTGCTTAATCTCTCTTTAGTTTTGCTTCTCTGTTCTGAACGAAAGGTTGAAGAAGTGACAGAGACCAATAGAGTAAAACATTCTGTGAAATGCTTATTAATATGGTCCGGCAGATCAACCCGACCCGTCTACACCACTCTTCCATTTTCTTAAATTATCATTTTGTTTTATTATTATTATTAGGGTAAAGTCCATTAAACCCCCTGAACTATTGGGGTATGTGCAAGGAACCCCTGAACTATTGGAGTATATACAAAAAACCCACCTGAACTATATATTTTTTTGCAGTTTACCCCATTCACGCGAATTGATTGACTAAAAGGGATGATGAAGCCGAGGAATTTGTTGCTGGGCTCGGTGGGTCTCCTGTCATAGCTTGATCATAGCCGTTGCACCACTAGCCAAATCCGTCGGCCATATATATCGCACTTCTTTGCACCGTTGCGTCAGCCCATCTCCGTCACCGCCTTACCCTCCATTCAGCTCACCTTGCTCGTCGGTCCATTCCATCGTCCATTCCAATCTCGCCGGCCCATTCCGCCATCTCCATAGTCGAGCACATCATCGTCCATGTTTCGAGCACATAGCCGTCCACAGTTCACCGCCGAGCCCCCTTGAGCTCGTCGTCGCCTCCACAGTTCACGGCCGAGCCCCCTTGAGCTCGTCGTCGCCTCCACAGTTCACGGCCGAGTCAACCGAGCTCTCATCACAACCGAGTCCTCCACGCACAAGTTGCCATCATCCGAGACCAAGCCATCCCGTCGACCTCGGATTTCTTTGGTCTCTTCTCTCTCTCTCTAGCTCTCAGTTTTGGGTTGTGTTGGGTGAAAGACATCTTTTGGCGGAAAAAAAAAGTAAGAAGTGTATAAGTTAAAACGACGTAGTGTACGTGTTATAAGGGTAAACTGGTCTTTCAAAATTTTCGGTACCGGAAGTTGATGTCATGGGGGTAAATTGCAACAAAATCATAGTTTAGGGGGATAAATTGCAATAAAATCATAATTCAGGGGGGTAACTTGCAATAAAATCATAGTTCAGGGAAGTTTTTTGTAGTTTAGGGAGGTTTCTTGCAAATGATCAATAGTTCAAGGGGGTAAATTGCAACAAAATCATAGTTCAGGGGGGATTTTTTGTAATTCAGGGGGGTTTCTTGCAAATGACCAATAGTTCAGAGGGTTTAATGCACTTTACCTTATTATTATTATTATTTTTTGAATGGCTTGTTTTATTATTTCTTGCTTGAATTGAATTATTACATTTTAGATAAGACAATACCTTGAGATCAAACATATATTTCGGGGGAAAAAAAAAAAAAAAACATAATTCAATTTAGTAAATGATTAAAAAAATTATAAATTCAATTGAGCACGTGATCTATTGTCTTGTATGAAAAAAGAATCACGTCTCTTTTGATATTTTTGCCATAATTGTGAAATTTTAAATTTTTTATTATTTCTTTATAATATGTAAATCACGGATTTGAAGTGTACATTACCTCTTTTTAGACGGTAATCATGGAAGACTCTGCGCCAAACTATATATATATTTTTTTTATATATATTAAAAAATATGTAGAAAAGGTAATTGAGGAACTAATATTGAATTTGACATAGTATATTTCTTTTATGTTTTTATCTCAACATTTTTTATATATTTTATTTTCCCCTTTCCTTTTCCTTTTCATTCATTAAATCCAAAAGACCAAACAGATTTGCTATTTGAATAAAAAGGATTGAATTTGAACTTAAATAAAAGATTTGCGATTCTAAATGAATTCACTAAACTGATATTAGTTTAAAGGACAACCTTCCCGGCATGAATTCCTCAAGCATAATCTTCTTAAATCAATTCATCCATGCTATTATAACTTATATCTAAATTACTAATGTTATGATCGGTTACATGAAATTGATACGGTCAAAATTAAAATCAGAAGAAAATTAGTTTAATTAACCCAAAAGGGTTGCCCTTGCTGTGCTGGATGCCAAAGTTATTTACCTTCCTGTTTTGGAGTTGAGGAAACAGTAGTTTGTTTTGGCTTGGAGTATCCCTGAATCTGTTATTGTTGTCCAATGTCCATGTATTTTTCACCTCAACCGGTGCTAAGTCTTTTTGTACATAGGGTTATGCCCCTCTCTATACATGTACCTCTATATATATATATATATATATATATATATATAAATAGAAATGATTGCTTACCCAGAAAAAAAAAAAAAAAAAAAAAAAAAAATTTGAATATATAACAAAAGTTTTTGACCATGAATGTGCATTTTGTATTTTATGACAAATTTGAACGACTACAATTAAAATCTTTAATAAAAAACTCTACCAATCAATGGAACTAGCTTCGTGAATCCTAATTTATGGAGTGTCTTTTTCAATTCACATAATACATGTGTTCAAAACAATGTAGGTGTGATAAAATTAGATGGATCAAAACAATGAAATAACACATTTTTGTAATAAAATTTAATGATGTATATGATCTTTATAATCAATAAATTTTCACTTTAGTATTGAGAAAGATGACACAATTTGTCATCCAACAACTACTTTTGATTTTGAATTTAAAGATTGGGTTAAGTGCAAAAAACTTCCCCCTACTATCGATATTATATCGGTCCCTGTGTGGTAAAAAATCCCTCTATACTATCAATTTAGTACAAATAAGCCATTGAAGACTTAAAATGACGATATTACCCTCACTTCAGTTGAATAAATTAATAATTATAAATCCAAATCATGTAAAATGACGGGAATACCCTCAAGAAGCATTTGTGTATATATATATATATATATTTATTATACTTATCAGTTTTATTATATTATCAAATTTTATATATATTTTTATATATTATCAGTTTATTATATTTTTATATTATCAGTTTTATTATATATATATTTTTTTATTATATTACCAGTTTTAACTTTTATATTAGTATCAATTTTATTGTTTTATTCTCTCTCTTTACTCTCTCTCCTCTTCGTCTCTCTAAACCTCAGACCCATTTCATTATTCTCCTTTTCCTTCATCACCACACCCTTCAGGTGATGGATTTAGGGCCAAACCAATCTTTTCATTGTTGAATCCTGAAAAAACCTTGAAGTGGGCAAAGAAAGATCCACACTCACCATCAAATTTTCTCTACCAGAAGCCACCACACCAACTGGGTCTAACCCAAAAAAACTTTGATCTACAACACCAAACCCACCGTTAAATTTTTTCCACCAGAAGCCGTCGCTTCACTGCCTCCGTGCTACACAGTCGGTGGGAAAGGCCCTGGCCGTTTGTTTACTGGCTTGCGATGGACCAGTTGTGGTTTCCATCGCCATCGTCGTTGTTGCCATCTAGATCGTGTCGCTTTGTTGTTGCTTGTGTGGCCATTGCCTTGCTCCGTTGATGCTCGCCGGTATGCCACGGTTCCAAATGTTGCTTGCCTTCTGTTAGGTTTTGTTAAAGGAGGAGAAGAGGGGTGTTTGGTTCACAATTACATCTATGAAATTGAAAAATTAGATAGACCCATTTTAGTATCAGAGAGATCATTACATGGGTTTGGATTAATTGATCAATTTGATCACTCTGTTGTTGGATTTTTGCAGAGTATAATTCTACTCCTGATCCTTTGGCAGAGGCTTTCCCGTCCACATGTTGAACACCGGAAGATCGAATAATTCATAGACAAATTGTGTTTGATAAAAATTATAATTATAAGGATCAGGAGTGTTAAAAAAAAATTGTGTAGGACAAGACGAAGTAGAACCGTTGTAATGTGGTTGTGGAGGTTGTTGGGAAGGACTCTGATTGATCAATGGTGCAGGGTAATAAAGTTTCAGCAACTTCTTTTTTCCACTTGTAGTGCTGCGAGAATTGATTTCCAAGGATAAAGTAAAAACAGAGAGAGAGAGAAAGTGAGGAGAGAGAGTAAAGCAGGCGTTGGAAATCGGAAAAAACAAAATAATGTCAGCAGCCAATAGGACACGTGTGCGAGTGTGACACTCCTCATGAGGGGGCAAAATAAGAATAAAAAATGATAAAATAAGATTTTCATATTTTTTTTTTTTTGTCAAAAAGTGGTTAGGGGCTTATTTGCACTTTCCTTTTCTTTTTTTTTTTTTTGTTTTGACTAATATCCACATTTTTAAAAAGTAAAAATTAGTTTTGCATAAAGTCTATATACGAGAGGGTTTTTTACACTTAACCATTAAAGATTAAAAAGATTAATACCAGAATATATCTTACTGTTATAAGTGAAACTTGTCTTACATCGGATTTGGATAGGGGTTGAAGTGTGTATAAATGGGTGGGTATGCAGCACTACTCAATAGTTCGAGCTTTTTGGTAAATGGGCAAGCGTCCACCCGTTACAGTTGGTATCAGAGCCAGACTCAGTCCTTAATCCGGTGTCACGCCAAGCGCTCGGCCCGGAAAGCGTCCGGGTCTGCCTCCAGGTAGGTAGGGTGGTCCGACCGCAACGAGGGCGTTGCGGGGGTTCGGGTGGGGGAGAATGTTACAAGTGAAACTTGTCCCACATCGGATTTGGATGGGGGTTGAAGTGTGTATAAATGGGTGGGTATGCAGCAATACCCAATAGTTCGTGGGCAAGCGCCCACCCGTTACACTTACCATGCAAACATTAATGACAAATAAACAACAAAAAAAAAGTAAAAAATAATCAATATTCTATTACTAATTAGAGCATGGCAATATATGGAAAATTAGGTAACCAAAATGCCAAAGTATCAAAGCAGTTAGCCAGCTTTATTCTGAACAAATCAATAGACATCAAATGAAAATGCAAACGCTAAGCAAGGAGAGAGAGAGAGTTCCATTTTATCCATTTTTTGCCAGAAAACATTCAATGATCGACTAGGTTATTAAGTAGAGATCCTCAACATTTATAATATATATATATATATATATATATATATATTGGTAAGTAACATTTACAATATTCATATTACAGCACTCCTCAAATTACTAGTAACTAGCTCATCCTTCTTGTTCTTACAAAGTTTCACCAGTTCTTCCACCACTCCTTCAATCTCCTCCTCTCCCTTCTCTCTTATGCTTTCACTCAATTCTTTTGCTTTCCTCCTCACAGCTTCACCATTTCTCTCCACTACCACCCCTTTTATCACTCTTGCAACCTCTTCTCTCTCAAGCCTCCCACTCTCATCTCTCTTGACCTCCATACCGACACCGACCTCCTCCACCAACCTAGCATTCATCGGCTGATCAAGTTGCATAGGAATGGCTATGATTGGAACACCAAATTTCATACCCTCCATCACTGAACTCCAACCACAGTGACTCACAAACCCACCAATATTTGAGTGCCCTAGAATCCTAGCCTGTGGGGCCCAACCCTCCACAACCATCCCTCTCTCCCCTACCCTTTCAAGAAACCCCTCAGGCAGTGCTGCTTCAACCGGAATTTTCTCATCCATTGGAAACCTAACAACCCATATGAAATTAACATCACTAAGCGCCAACCCATTTGCTATTTCCTCCATATCCTCCTTGCACAAGAAGTACTCACTCCCAAAGGACACAAACACAGTGGAACCCTTATCCTTCTTGTTAAGCCATTCAAAGATCTCCGTTTTCTCCTCCTCAACAATGCTTTCCTGGACAAGTAGACCAACAGGTACCATCTTCTTCTCATATGCCACTGAGAGATAATCAATGTACTTACCTTCTATCTCTCTAAAACTCTTGATCAATATAATTTCAGACGATAGTTTCGCGCATTCTTCGAACCTTAAAACATCTTTTACGCCATTTGAAGATGCTCCAAGCATACCCTGCATGCCAATTCTCTCATGATCTCGAATATACATCGCTGGGTATAGGAATTCACTGTTAGGGTCCTTGAAGAAATGGAGAAGGAAGGAACCTGCTGCTGCACTGGGGCTGAGGAAGAGAGTTGCCGGAATGTTATGCGACAAGGCCACCTCTGGCGCCCAGTGTTGGAGGAAGTCATAGATGAGCAAGTCAGGGTTTAGGGTTTTTAGGATGGTGGAGAAGGAGGGTTTGGCCATGTCAAAAGCCTTCTTGAGGGTGGGCATAAGGTGGGGTGGGAGGCCATTGGTGGTGTGGTAGTGAGAGGGAAGTTCTGGCAAAGTTGGGAGATGAAGCTCTACTAGTTTGATTGAAATGGAATGCTTTTGAGTGAGCTTTGCTTTGATGGAACTGAGATTGACTGGTGTTGAACATAGGTATATGTTGAAGTTTCTCTTTGATAGTGCCTTTGCTAACTCTAGAAATGGGGATATGTGACCATACGCAAGCCATGGAAGCATTAGAACACTAATGGTATTGCTTTGTCTACCCTCCATGAACTCTTTTCCTCTCTATTCAAATACACAATATGTCTGTTTATATTAGGTGTACTAGATGAATATATATATACACTATTGGCCCCTAGCTAGTTTGTTTGCAATGGATTAGTATAGTAAGACCAGAACGTGGCAGGTTGGAGAGACCAGGTGGCATTAGAGGTGCACATTGGCAAAGAAGAGAGGCTACACGAACAAACATACATGCAGATATGTATATGGTAAGAGAGAGAGAGAGAAAGAGAGAGAGAGAGAGTAAAGCACGGAAGCAAGAGGACAATATTGTTGTGGACTCTAGTCCACAGATCATTAGAACTGGTTGTGAAGTTTTCCATCATTGATAGACTTCAATACATACATGTATAACACAGGTAAGCATATACACTCATTTTCTGGTAAAAGGGTTTGTCAGTAGGCATGGTGGCCGAAATAGAATTGATTTCTTATTATCATGAAGACAAATTCAAGTGATAAAAGAATAGTAGGCGATAGTAGTTATCAAGAAGGTTTTAGGAAAGTCACATAAAACTAAAATTTAAGTACACACAAAAAATTAAAATTGTAATAGCTAAATTTTAAGCATTGAATTTTTAAATTTAAAAACCTATTCAGTATGTCTAGTTTTTAGTGACGAATTCAGCAAGAAAAAATTGGTTTCATAAGTGAAAAAAATCTGAAATTTGAAAATAATCTTAGTTTTCGGTTTACAGTTTTATCTCCAGGATGCAAATATATTATATACGAATATAGAAAAGGGATCTGATATTTGCACTTCCCTTTTAACCAAATGCACAGTCCTCTTAAAGAAAAATAACGTCAAGTGTCCCTAAATCATAAATAGGAAAACCAAGTGCTAGATTATGTTTGTCATTTATCTTAGGAAAAAGCAAGAAAAAGAATGCTTTTGATCAACACATCTCTAATCTTAACCTCAGTTTAATTATTCAAATATTGAAGATATTAATGTGATTCTCAAAAAAACGACGTGATCCTCTATGCCAATTAAGTCTCACAATAAGTTGATCCTCCCTTTGTGGAGAAATGATTTATTCAGTGGACCAAGTTAACCACGTCAATTATGGTCTCAAGCATTGAGAACTTGATATACAAGTCTTTTGTCAGTTTTTTAATCCATTTTACATGCTTATCCTAATGTAAAAAAGCTTAGACAAGTCTTATATGTCAAGTTATCAATGATTGGGACAATAATTGATGTTCCACAAAATAATTTCTCCATTGCAAAGAGGGGATAATAAGAGGGTATATTTTGTCAACTAGAAAAAAATTAATCCTCTACCGCCAAAGGTGTTATGTGTGTTCAGAAGTGAAGGGCGTTTCACTTAAAGGTCTCCTCATAGAGATATTTTGAATGATTTGAAACAGACACGTGATTACTATTTTTAATCATTATCAAGATTTTTAATCCCGATTTTTATTTTTCTTCCATCAGTTGGACGAGTTCCATTCCTCTTATACCCCTTTCCAATTTTTTTTGTGCCACCAAAGTGGTTTTTTTTTTTTTTTTTTCTTCAAAGGGTCGAACAAAGTATATTGCCAACCACAGGATGAATTGGTGCTTGGAAATGTTGGAGGAGTCCCAGACGAGATGATACCAATTGGGACTCCTTCAACATTTACTATTTTTAATTATTATCAAAATTTAACGATGTCTGATATTATAAACTTTTATTTTACAAGATCAATACTTTTAAGAAAGGTGATACAATACGTCACCAAACCACTACTTTTGATTTTGAATTCTACTATTAAGTATCTTAGCAAGCAAACAATTAATGACAAGAAGAAGAAAAAGTAAAAACAATAAATAATGTTATGAAGCTAATAACGGTCACAATGGTTACTCCTTTTGAATCGGCTATGGGCCTGTTGCCAATTGGGCTTGTATTTCCTTTGTTTTACCTTAGTTACATTTGTAATAAGGTCCTATTAATAACAAATACTAAAGCCCAACACTGTACATTACACTTTATACAATAAATAAATAAATAAAAATTACATCCGCGGTTTTGTTTTCTTTACACATTTCTAAGTGGTAAACAAATTATGATTTATGATTTCCCTTCCTTGATACATGCATGGCAATATATGGAAAATTGCCATGACAGTAAACAAAAAAAGGAAAAATAAAATTAAGTAACCAAATGCCAGAGTAACAAAGCAATTAGTCAGCTTTTATTTCTGACACATCAAATGAGCAGAAAAAAACAAAAGAAAAGAAAGGAAAGAAATAGTGGAGAAAGTTTTCAATTATTACACATATTTTTGCCAGAAAAAATTAAAGTGATAAGGTTAATTGAAAGTAGAGATCTTCAACATGTACAATATTCTGATAATTACATCACTTCATCAAATTACTAGTAACTAGCTCATCCTCTTGTTCTTACAAAGTTTCACTAGCTCTACCACAACTCCATCTATCTCCTCCTCTCCCTTCTCTTTCATGTTCTCACTCAATTCTTTTGCTTTCCTCCTCACAGCCTCACCACTTTTCTCCACTACCACCCCCTTTATCACTCTTGCAGCCTCTTCTCCCTCAAGCCTCCCACTCTCATCTCTCTTGACCTCCACACCCACACCAACCTCCTCCACCAGCCTAGCATTCAGTGGCTGATCAAGTTGCATAGGCATGGGCCCATGGCTATGATTGGAACACCACTCTTAATACCCTCCATCACTGAACTCCAACCACAATGGCTCACAAACCCACCAATATTTGAATGCCCTAGAATCTTATCCTGTGGGGCCCAACCCTCCACAACCATCCCTCTCTCTCCTACCCTCTCATGAAACCCCTCAGGCAGTGCCTCCTCAACCCTAATTCTCTCTCCTACTGGAAACCTAACAACCCATATGATATTTACATTACTAAGCTCCAACCCATTTGTTATCTCCTCCATATCCTCCCTACACAAGAAGTACTCACTCCCAAAGGACACAAACACAGTGGAACCCCTAGCCTTCTTGTTAAGCCATTCAAAGATCTCCATTTTCTCATCCTCAACAAGGCTTTCCTGGACAAGAGGACCAACAGGTACTATCTTCTTCTCACTTGCCACAGAGAGAAAATCAATGTACTTCCCTTCTTGTCTCTCTAAAACTCTTGATCAATATAATGTCAGATGATAGTTTCACGCATTCTTCGAACCTTACATGATTTTTTATGCCATTTGAAGATGATTCAAGTATTCCCACAAGGCCAATTGTCTCATGATCTCGAATATATATCGCCGGGAATGGGAATTCACAATTAGGGTTCTTAAAGAGATGGAGAATGAAGGAATTTGATGCTGCACAGGGGCTGAGGAAGAGGGTTGCCGGAACGTTATGTGACAAGGCCACTTCTGGCGCCCAGTGTTGGAGGAAGTCATATATGAGCAAGTCAGGGTTTAGGGTTTTCAGGATGGTGGAGAAGTTGTGTTTGGCCATGTCAAAGGCCTTTTTGAGAGTGGGCATGAGGTGGGGTGGGAGGCCATTGGTGGTGTGATAGTGACAGGGAAGGTTTGGCAAAGTTGGGAGATTAAGCTCAACTAGTTTGATTGAAATGGAGTGCTTTTGAGTGAGCTTTGCTTTGATGGAACTGAGATTGACTGGGGTTGAACATAGGTATATGTGGAAGTTTCTCTTTGAGAGTGCCTTGGCTAACTCTAGGAATGGAGATATGTGACCATGAGCTAGCCATGGTAGCATTAGAACACTAATGGTATTGCTCTGTCTAGCCTCCATGAACTCTATTCTTCTCTGTATCCAAATAAACAATATGACTATGGTGATATTAGGTCCACTAGATGAACATATATATATTCTTTTGAACCCCAGCTAGTTTGTTTGCAATGGATTAGTATAGTATGAGCAGAACATGGCAGACTGAAGAGACAAGGTGGCATTGGAGGGACACACGGGCAAAGAACAGGGCCAAACACATGCTGATATATATATATATAGAGAGAGAGAGAGAGTAAAGCATGGAAACAAGAAAACAATATGATGTGGACTGAGTTGTATTGGCATACGTAAGGGCATTGGACAGATGGTAAAGATCCTCTGATGTTACAGTACAACCATGAAGGATTGCGATTGAATTGCGCTTTCAATCACAACCCTCCATGATTGTACTGCGCACAATAGAGGGTCCCTGCTAGTTAGACTTAACCCTGCCAACTTTCCAAAACCCATCATCTGTCACTCATTTCCCACAGCTCAAAAACCTAATCTTTCTATTCTGGACAAACCAAACCCCACACTACCCAACTCTCATGCTCTCTGCAGCCCAAGTCACCTTACCCACCAAAATCACTTTAGTGGGAAAATTTTCTCTTTAGGACAATTTTTACAACATGAATAATATTATTAATTGAAGGGTTAATTACACTGACACTCGGTAAGGCCTAATTACACATAAATGCAAATTTTGTCAAAAAGTTCGGAAACACCCGCAGTCAAATTTAACGCACTAACAGCATTAAAAAAACACATGAAATGTCAAAAATAATCTAATTTGTTAATGCTTTTTAATTAAAAAATTAATAATTTCTATCATTAATTTAATCTCAAAAGTTATTTTCTCTTTTTCACACCAACTTTTTTGGAATTAATATGTTTAATTTTCCATCAATGGTTATTACGCGCAAAAAAAATCATTAATTGCTGCTTTGATCATCCATTACTACTTTCAATAATATATCTCTAAAAAGCTTAATGTGACAGTTTTCGCATGAAGAGGATCAATCCTCAATGAACAAACTGTATTTTTAACTAATCAGTCCTGAAATCTACTATACAGTATCAACATCTTGCTACTTCCCAAAAAAAAAACTAAAAATTCTTCTAACCAATGGAAGGTACAGACGTTTTCATACTTAATAATGAAATCTCAGATCGATTTTGTACATATATATATATATATATATATAGGCAGAGAGAGTGGAATTGATACCTGCTTGGTTTGGACGAAGGTTGTTGAGGAAGCATGTACTTTAGTT